CAAACGATAATACACTTTATTATTGCATCTACCACGATGAATAACAACAACCTTTTCCTCGACATTAAAGCAACTTTGATCACAACACGGTGGAATAAGGTAATGAACCAATCAGGACTAACTAGCAAAACTTAGCACCCTGTGTCAAGGGCGAGAAAATCTACCAACACTATTCACGATCGACCTGACTGGTCGAGAAAATGTTAGGAGTGTTCTTATTGGTTAAAGTAAGATGCTCCAATGGTCTGTTTGAAGAAAAATAGAGTGACACCCTCTTTAACAACAATAAACGGCCGCTCTAAGACAGGGATCCTTTTATACCAGAGCAAAACATCTGCTCCTTCATTATTTTTGAAAGTTCGCATCTGACATTCAAGTCAGGAAATAGACGGAAGAAAGAAAAAAAGAGATAGACGGATTGAAATTTAAACAATAGGAATTCGAAGCAGGGTTTGACAGCTTGAAGACTTCTCCCAACTCGATGAATGCTAACACCGAAGAAATAGACAACCTTCGACAAAGCAACGACGACCTTCGGAAAAAGTTGGAACATTTAGAGAGATACTCTAGAGACTTGAATATTCGCATTTTAGGTGCAAGTGAAGAGGATGGCGAAGATTGTAAGGCGATAATTCTGGATTACATTACACGTCTTGGCTTCGAACATGCAGTGGCTTAAGTAGAGAACGCGCATCGTACAGGGAAAAAGCAAGATGAGAGGCCAAGACACATCATTGCCAAACTCTATAGTAGGCCATTTAAAAGAAAACTACTTCAAGGTGCAAAGAGTGCGGAGGGGAAGGCGGAGCTCAACCAGGTGAGGTTTGTCGAAGATTTCACACGTAATGAGTTCGGAAAAAAGCTCTTCCACTCGTGCGAAAGGCTTTTGAAGAAGGGAAGAGAGCCGGTTCCTTTCACAAAGGGAAACCTTTTTGTGAACGGAAGGGCAGTCTCGGCCACGTATAAATTTATCGATCCAAATATTGATAATGATTGCTTAATTTTTTTCAGTCTTCCAGCAAAGGCAAGCGCTACTGTCCACCGCGAGATGATTTTATGTGTGTCCAATTTGCTTGTGCAAAGCTGCATAAGCGCGAATTTTGTGAATAACTCTTTGGCAGCAAATTTCTTTATTTTCGCTGTATTCTTAACGGTAATTTTTCAGACATCATATTATTCACAGATGTAAAAGAAGAGGATGCAAATGAGGAACCATGGCGGATGGACGTGGTCTCCGCGCTCTGTGATTCCTTAGTTGAGAGGAGCCATACCTGGCCATTTAGGCTCGCTCAAATACAACCAGTGATGTCCTTTTAACACCCATACACCGGGTAATTGAAACTATTTGATGCTTGCTGCTTGTGCTCACGTTAAAACGTTCAGAACGATCGTAAAGCTTAACTTCCGACAAGCCAATTCCGAAACGAAACAAGTAGAAGGGCGAGGAAATGGAGGGAAACCAGGAAACCGACTCGCTTATCTCCATGGAAGTACTCCTTGACAAATTAATCGCCATAGAATCTCGTATGGAAGACAATTTCTCCGATCTACACACACAGATCTCTGAACTGACGTGTGAATTTTGAACATGAAAACAATGTCATCAAATCAACACTGAAAGAACTTGGGAAATCTGTGAACTACGCGTGGGCAAGCATCACGGACCTACAGCAAGAGTCCAAAGCCCTCAAAGATTCAAAAAGCACTCACCAAAAAATGATGGACGAGCAAAC